TCGATCCCCTCATCCAGATCATTGACAAGGACATTAAACAGAACTGGTCCCAATACTGAGCCCCAGGGAACACCACTTACCTGTCTCATAGCGATTCTTTGGCAGTAATTACAAATCTCCTAAAGAAGGGAAGCTTATCACCAAGTCCACAACCTTGCTTGACAGGCATTCAGAAGTGCACTGAAATCTCCTAAGTGGTGTTCCCAACAGAGAAAAATTAAAACTTCTCAGTCTTGTTGCACACTCTCTACAAAACAAAGATCCCCTCTGGCTCTGCAATTCTTTACTCATTCCTTGGCCAACTTATTTCTCAAGCATACCAAAGCACCTCAAGCAAAGACTTCTGTCTGAACAGTCTAAAAAGTGTTTATTACCTCAACAGGGAGGTGCTACAGAAATATTAAACACCAGCAACGTTTTCTCAGGGAAGCCATTTCCTTCTTCCACTCGCAACAGTCGCTACAAAAGTTTAGCAGTTTATTCTTTTAAAAATGACACTTTTGGTTGGCAAGTTCATGTATGTAAATACAGTCACTTCTACACTCATGTTTTCTCCATGCAGCCATAAAAATCAAAAATCTTAACTCACTTGAGGTCCACTAATACCAAAAGGATCTCCTACCGCTTCATAAATACAGGTATAAATGGAGTTCTTCACAGCTCCAAAGTTAGACGCCCAGTTTACCTGGAAATGGTCTAAAGCAGCAACCTAGCTTAGCTGCTCTGAGCCATCCCATGAAGACCCCGCTCTCTCCACTGACTCTAAAGCCACAGTTTCAGACTTACTTATTCAGCAACAGCTGGCTAGAGCAGTGCCCCACTTCCCTGAGACAGATCACTCCCAGCCCCACATCATCTCTCTCCTCTAGGCACCGCTGGGTTTGCAGCTTTGTGATTTACCACGAGGTTGGATTTACCATAAGGCTCTTTATCTGCAAGAAAGCCAGAAGCCAGCTCAGAATGTCAGCTGGAGACCAAGGGCCAACACAGTTTGAGGACTTATTTCCTCAGTCAGCCTTGCAGTGTTGGTTCCTGGTGAGGAACAGCACATACCTCCATGGCGGGCTACGGTCATGCTGTTCTGCTGCAACTGCACAGTCACATCCTTTGCATCAGATTAACTGGGAGCAGAAACTGCAGTGGGCTGATCAAGACCAAGCATTATACGAAAAAAATTCAAAATTACATCAAGAGGAGGATGTCAGATTGACGAGGCCTTCAGTGCTGCACGGTTCAGACCATGTAGGTCAGCGTATCACCATCACTGGAAAGACAGCGTGGGACACCGAAGCAGAGCTCAAGTTTAGGACAAGGTAAAGAAATGACTGGACAAAAGGGGAAAAAAAGCCTGTGTTCACAGTTGGATGCTCCACTGGCTTAACTGAAGGTCATGCTCAGAAGGACTTTGAAGAAAGCACCTTGCCTGAAGGTCTCCTTCCCCATTAGGGAATCATTGTACAAAATCTAAAGTGATGATTTGCACAAGGAAGAAAAATTTCAGGGCTACCATAATCCCAATCAAAGTAAGGGGTGAGAGAGACCAGATCCCAGGTTACTGGTGAACCCACTGCCCACAATCAATACAAAACCAAGTAAAATACTGTCAGTATTCCCCACATGGCATGGCCTCCGTGCATGGAAGTAGTGAGGGAGAAAGGCCGAATCCTCATGTACAAAGAGAAATAAATTCAACCTTGACTGGTTATTTCAAGTGTCATTGACCACCTCAAAACAGTTCTGCAGTGACACAGTACAACAGCTAAACGCAAGAAGCACAGAAAGTAAAAAGTCTGATTCATCTTGAACCCAATTTTCTCGCCTCTAGAATATTTAGGAAGCGCAACTTGAATAACTCCCACATACCTCCATCTACTAAGCATTTACCATGAGTCTTATGTTAAAAATATAAACCTTTATTTATCTGCTGGAAAAAACCCACACGTTGTTAGTGCAGGTTTTCTCACATTGCTCGACCTGCGTGCCTGCAGGTCTGACTTCAGAGCCACTACGCTTTTGCACGCGCTTAAAATTACTCGGTCACACGGTCTGTGTCATAAATAGTCTCCTCAATCTGCAAAGCAAAGGACAGGCTACTCGAAAAACAATTTTAGGTCCAATAAAAACAGTTCGACACCTGTAGCAGAAAAAAAAACCAACGGAATAACCACATCCTGAACCACCTGACGTAGGGATGAGCACAGCATTCATTTGAGTAGACAACCTGCAAACATCACCCGTCTTCCACCCTGAGCTGCGCCCTTCAGTGCTCACAACCAGGGCACTAGAGCAAAAGAAAAGAAATTATTTTCCCAATTTGTCCGTTATTTTATCTTGATAAAATTCACGTGAAGAGAGCAGCGTAGCACTTGTCTGGTCTTTGAATGACAAGAAAAAAACCCAAAGAAAACCAGCAGAAGCGTTTGCTGCCCTCCAGAGGAAAACCAAATGAATTTACAGCTTTAAAATACAAAGGTAGGCACTAGGCAAGGGCTAGTCCTACCCAGCTTTTGAAACCGCTTTCTGTAGTGGATGATAATGTTGTCAAGGAAAATCCACTGCACTGAATGACGACAAAGTAGCAAACTAAACTGTCAGCAGGGACGCTCACCTAGTTTTAACAGCTCCAAAATGTCAAATCTCTCATTTTTCCTTCTGTTTTATACTGCAAAATCCACTGAAAAGTTACATATTCAATGACACAAAGCACACGTAAATAAATCGGCCTCTGATTTTTGGTTCATCAGCTGCAAAATGAGAAGAGGAGCATCTCCCCATCACACCAAAATACTACAAGGGTAACTGCATTTGAGCCTGCAAGGGGCTCGGAGCTCCTGAGCGCTGACGCTCTCGGGGGTGAGTCATCCCTTATGGGAGCTGACGTCTGGCCTCCCTCCAAGGCAGGATCAGTTCCCCTTCCCAGCTAAAGGAAATAAATCCCACGGCAATGTGATTCGTCACAACTCCAAATCAAGGTGATGAGGCATAAAAGGTAGAAGTCCAGATGGAATGCCAAGAAATTAGAAGCAGCTTAGCGTTTCCTACGTGAGAAAATAGATAAACCACGGCCCCGTCTCCTGCTGGTGCTACGCAGTACGCAGCAATGCTGCAAGTTGAGCTATTCTGTGGTAAATACACATTTGGATAAACGTTGCCTTGCAAAAACTTCTTTGTCTTCAATATTTTCTGTTCTGACACCAGTTAAAGGCCACTTCTAAACAATTACATTAAGGAAAACCAAGACGCTTACCTGACGGCCTCCGCTACGTTATTGGAAGTGTGACCCGACAAGGCATCGTGAAGGTTCCTGATGAAGTAATCCCTGTAGTCTTCAGGCAGGGCCATGAACGTTCCACCCATCACAATAAACTCTACTTTATCCACGCTGTGGCCCAACTGCTTCAGCTGTAGAGTTAAAAGCGCCAGGCAAAAATTACCAATCAGGGACGTAGAGAAGACTTCTCTGAAAACCCTGATGTTCTTACACTGCGTTTCCTTCTTTAGTTGTCGTTATCTTTTAAGAATGACAAACCATTAAAACTTTCGTATGGATTTCTTAAGACATTCCCACCCCCCCACCCCCAAAAAAAACCCTCAAAAGTTATTTTTCTACTGCACAGCCATTGAACCCAGCATAACAGGTTTCCTCGACAAAGCAGAATTACTTGAGCCTAGCATCTTGCTGGTGGCAGTACACTGGTTCCAGTTTGAAGCTAGCCTAGATACGGCCAGTAGGAAAAGTTTCCTTGCATCTGCTTCAATCCATGGAGAACTGACTTTCCCCACAAACTTGTGGGAGAAAAGGACTACACTGAACCCATGTAGAGTTTTCCAATGGATTTGGAGATAAACAGGAAACCAGTCAAAGCAGAACAGGACTGAGAAACTCTTCAGATCTTCTAACTCTCCAGTAAAGAAACTAAAAAACTATCATTTTGGTAGGAAAGCCGCTATTTGAGTACTAAATTCTCCATGCAAATAATTATCACAAACTAGCAACTGCCACCGAAGTTCAGTACAATTTTGCTGTAACAGGATCTCCTACTAGTAATTGGGTAATGTTCAGAGCAGATAAGAGGTTCAAAACTAATGGAAATGACAGACAAGTAAAAGGTCTAAAAATAATTTTTCTACAGGGATCCAGTCAGGCTAATGTAGAACTATGGAATCATGAAAAGCTGAGGTTGGAAGGGACCTCTGGAGATCACCTAGCCCACTCTCTCTTCTCAAAGCAGCACCAGCTACAGCAGTTTGTTTGACGCTGTGTCCAAACAGGCTTGGAGTGTCTCAAAGGCCGGAGACTGAACACCCTCTCTGGCCAACCTGGTCCAGTGCTCGGTCACCCTTGTGGTTAGGAACCGATGTTCAGCTGGAATTTCTCATGTTTCACTTGGTGCCCATTGCATCAGGGCCTGTCCTGTCACTGGGCACCACTGAGAAGAGCCTGGCTCTGTTTTCTTCGCAGCCTACCACCAGGTATTTATACACATTGGTAAGGTCCCCCCAAGCCTTCTCTTGCCAAGCCTAAACAGTCTTGGCTCTCTCAGCATCTCTTCAGATGCTCCAGTGCCTTCATCATCTTAGCGGCCTTTTGCTAGACTTGCTCCACATGTTCATGTCTGTCTTCTTCTGGGGAGCCCAGAACTGGACACAGCTCTCCAGGTGAAGCCTCAGGAGTATTGAGGTGAGAGGAAGAATCTCCTCCCTTAACGTGTCGGCAACACACTTCCTACTGCAGCCCAGGAGGCTGCTGGTCTTCTTTGCCTCAAGGGCACAACGCTGCTCATGGTCAACTTGGGTGTCCACCAGTAACCCTCCCCAGGTCCTTTTCTATCAAGCTGCTTTCCAGCTGGTCGTCCCCCAGCACGTACTAGTGCCCGGGGCTGCTCCTCCCCAGAAGCAGGACTTGGCATTTCCCTTGGCTGAACTTCAAGAGGTTCCTGCCAGCCCATTTCTCCAGCCTGTCCAGGTCTCTCTGAATGACAGCATGATCTTCTGGTCTATTACTCACTCCTTCCAACTCTACATCATCCACAATCTTGCTGGCAGTGTGCTCTGTCCCAACACCCAGGTCATTTACACAGAGGTTAAAGGCTACTGGCCCCAACATGGACAGCTGGGTTACATATCACCAGAGACCGGCCTCCAGCCGGACTCAGCACTGCTGGTCACAACCCTTTCAGCCCACCAGTCCCGGCAATTAAAAGCATTCTCATTATTTCCATCACAACCACGATACATTCTCCTTTCACTGTGAAAATTCACCTGTTCCACTCTGTGTCTTGTCTGGAGATAGGGGTCGTATCTGGCCCGAATGGCCCTCATGGACGTTGGCTAAAAAACACAAGGAGATTAATTTTGGAAACTTTTTTCTTTTTAAAAAAAAAGAACACAGTGAAAAAACACCAAAAGACAACTTTTAGCACTGAAACAGAAGTCTTCAAATCCTAATTGACCCTAAAGTCTTCAAATTCACAACCACAGAGTCCACTCAATTGTAAATACGAATTTGGCTCCTTAATTTTTTTTAAATTTCAAAAACCCCACATTTTTGTTCTGAGTTAAAAAGACAGAAAAATGACATAAAAAGAATGACACAATTTTTCGAATTCTTAGTGCATTACAACAGGATTGTAAAGAATCTCTGTAGCAAGTCACAAAAAACACTGCAAAAAATCACAGACAAAATGTTTTTCAAAATACCACTTTTTCTGCCCTGCTGATTTCAGATTCTCTTCACTTGCACAACAGTTCTCCAAGCAGCATCCTCTAGAGCTCAGTCTAAATTCCAAATATTCCTTAAGCCAAATCTATTCTTTCAATTGAAATCCCTAACAACTTTTATATTACTAGCTGATGTAAGCCTATTAATAATACTCTAAGATAACGGTCTCAAGTATCTTGTGTATCCTGGATTCATTTGGCATTTCCTATCTGTTATATTAAAAGCTCTAAAGGATGAGGACTCTTTCCATCATGCACAACTCCCACACGCTGTTAGTACCAAAAAATGAATACAACATATCCAAAACAACACCAATTATAAAGCAGTTTCACATATACACAAAGATTTTCCTACTTTGCACTAACGGGACAAGCTTCAAGTCACCGAGAGGCGGGTAACAACAGACAAAATCCATACTAAAAGGATGCTGCGTCACTCTTTACCAAATTAATCCAGCTTGTATTTTACCTCATTTTGCTCCTCTACATCTGTACTATAGCTAGGAGCTGTTTTGTTAAACCCAGTGACAATAATTTAGTCACAACAAGATCTTCTGCCGTTAAACTTTCTCCAGACAACAGGAGAGCACTAGTTCAGAAATACACATATTTAGCAAGACTCCACTGTGGATACAGAGACATAAAAGGGCACGAGTGTAATTTCAGAGGCACTAGCAGCTAAATAGCGGGCTTTTTTCCAGAGCTTGACCTTTGTTAACCCACAGGGTCCCATAGCTTGGACAGGACTGAAAACAGGACCAGTTAGGACAGGATGGATGCTCAGGGCCGTGTCCAGTCAGTGTCTGACTACCTTTAAGAACAGAGTTCCCAAAACCTCTTGTGATCCCTACTCAGACGTCACGTTAAAACTTTCTTTTCTTACATTAAGGCACAACTTTCCACATTCTAACTCACGTTTATTGCCTCTCATCTTTCCGCTGGGCAGCTCTGAGGAAGCTGGCTCTGCCTCCTCTGTCCCTTTCCCTTAAACCCACATTGAGCCACAAGCAAAACCATCTCTTTCTGCCAGAGTCTTCCGTTAGGAAAATTCCGACACGGACTGACAACTGCTGTGGGAATCGCAGCGAGCACTCGCTTCACCACGCTGCGTGCAGCAGCGTCCCATGGGAGACAGCAACGCCACCTTCCACTCCTCGCCCTCGCTCATCGCTTGCCCCAGCTGGAGGTTCGGATTTAACGGCTGCTCCCACACCAGCGAGCCGCGGGGTACAGCCACGACGCTGCCCTGCCCTGCTCAGAACCACACGTTGCTCACCGCTGCTCTACAGCGTCCTGCACGGGTAACAGCACAAACGGCAGCAAGGGGAGGAGAAAGAAACAACTGCTGCAATAACGGAGAAGCATTTCCAGTCCCACACTTGAGCTGCTTTAGACCTCGAAGTTCACAAAGTCTGGTTTTGGTTTTTTTTTATTCTTGCAACACGAGTGAATTTGGAGAAACAAAGAGCAGCCCAACCCAAGTTTAGAGAGCGCAGGCAACGCGTTATGGCAGCCTGAAGTCATACCTCATATCCAGTGTAGGACTGTGTTGAATATTCAAAATCAGAATCAGGTCCACCTGGGCAGTATCTGCAAATATAAAAAGACGGAAAACGGGCGTCAAACTCATACAACTGCAGCGACTCCACCTGGCTGAGAGGGTGCAGGCTGAGCAGACGCTGCTCTAACTCATCAGAAAAATGGGGAAATCCAAATTCAAGACAGCTCGACCGCAGCATCGTGCCAGCTGCTCTCCTGGCGCTCAGGAGAAAAACCCAACTCACAAAAGCAAGGCTTTCTTTGCTCAAGCACTACAGCACCTCAGCGCTGCAATACAGCTTCCGGACTAAAGCTGGCTCACGGCTGGTCCGCTGAGAGCACAGGCTGAACAAATGAATTCCTGTGCTTCTGCCTCACCCGACGTAAACACAGGCACAGCCCCCAAGGCCCACGCTGAAGACAGCAGTGCTGCGACACCCAGCCACGCTGAGAGGAGCCCAGCCTGTGCCTGTTTACAAAGGCCAAGCACAGGGTGAGAAACGGTTGTTTGATTTCATTTTAATGAAAACGGGATGTTAAAAACCAGTTCCAACCTGTCAAATGACTGCAATCACATGAAACAACTTGATAAGGCTCACTAGAAGCAAAACGTACTACGGATGTATTTCTGGAAGGTGGCATTCTTTTAGGGAGCTGCCATACAGTTTTGTAATAGTTACACGCAGATTATTAGATTTTTTTAAAGGAATTTTACAATCAAACTATTTAAATATTTTTCACCATTCTGGCAAGAACACCATCTCATTTGACGTAAAATATGTCTTTTGTTCGGCATGGAAAGACATAAAATAGAGGTCTCACCCTGTTACACAATCTACACTTCCAGAAATTTATAGAATTTAATTATCTTGATGGTGAGAAAGTTCGTTTACATTTGTTTTCTGAACTCAGGAACATGTTATTTAACAAATCCAGCATTCTAAGACTACTTCAACTGAACGCAGCCCAGCTACTCCGGGTAACTGCACGGCAGTTTGTATCAAACTGCAGTTCCTGCATCTCGAGGCTTGTCTGAAACACAGCAAGCCAGGCTTGCGGCTGCCACAGCGTGACTGCTAGCCAGGAGAGGAACAGCGCGCGGCAGACAGTAATTAAAAGGGATATAAATTTATTCTGAAGGGTCCTCAGCTTCCTTTTTGAGAGCTGTGGGAGTAACGGCCGATCTACAGCCATTCTGCCCTTCAAGATGCCCCGAGCCAGGAGGGCTGCCAGCCCTTCTGCTTCAGCTGCCGGCGCTGAGCACCTCCAAGAGAAAACGGAGCAGTCGGCGGGTTGTTCCTCACGGTGCAGATCCCAGGCTCACAGACACCAAGAGAACGCCATCCCTGTCAAAGCAGACCCATTCGGCTCACAGTATAATCGATTCGTTTCCTCACCGCCTGCCCTGCAAACTCAACCCAAGTCATCTGTCACCATTACAAAATTAATTACCAAATTACCGCGGCCAACTTAATTTGCTGGCGAAAGTTGTGCAATCCAACCGGAGACATTTCACATACGTAATTACCTGGAACGCCTCAAACAGAATAGCTGCTCAGGCAAAACCAAGAACAGAGCCAGTTCACCCGCTGTTAGGCAGCTGGTAGCGAAACGCAGCGATGTTTCAGGAGCGACAAGGTGGGGAGGACAAGCAATGTTTTGAAATAGATGAACTGACACGGTTAGGGGAAAAAAAAAAAAAAAGATGAATTTCAGGTTTGCGGACTCTCAAGTCAAGCAGAGGTACCACAGTCCAAGGGAAACCCAGCTGGGGGGGGGTGTCTCCACTCAAATTTAACTCAAAAACTATCCCCTTAACAGCACAAGCTCTCGGCAGCTGGAGGCCTTCCCTTCTGCTGTGCTGTGGTCTCACTGCAGAGCCAGGCTGTCACACCAAGCAAGTCTTTGCAGACAACACCTGCACCTCCTCGGGGGGGTGTGTGTGTGTGTGTGTGTGTGTGTGTCTCAGTTCAGCCGTTTTCAAACTTCTCAGATTGGGCCCTGTTTGTTTTCTGCAACACTCTTCTCCAATCTGCTTCCACACCCAGCCACAGGCACCCTAACACAGAAACACCCCTTACATTTGATCTTTAATGTATCCTCCTGGTTACTCCCTTCACAAAACTGTGTATCTACTAAGACAAGCTGGGTTTGGTCCATGAAAGAAAAAAAGGTTTCCTCCTGGAAGAAAAACTGGTAACAAGCAGACTTTCTAGTGCAACACGCAGGTACCAGCAATCTGCAACTTTGTGCTCGCGCAGAGAGGAACCTGTCCCCAGCACAATGCTCCTGCAATATTAGATTTATACAGAAATACTGGAAAACAGTCCTCTTAGGTCATCTAGGCTGTCATACTTACACACATATGTTGCCTGTGAAGTTAATGTGTGGACACCTGTGTGGTTTACACATCACAGCCACGACAGCAATCTGTAAGAAGCAGAGTTAGAGGAGAGAAATTATAGTAATTGCTCCTGAAGTTACTGAAATAAAGCGCATCTTGGAAGGCTATATATACATCTGCATCTGCGAGGGACTATTTAAAGATGTTTTCTGCTTAGTCTGCCACCTAGAATAGCTGAGTGTTAACTCTTGAAGGAGATCACAAATATATCAAGGAATAGGAATCTTATTGTTTAATATTTTCACAACTCAGGATAAACTGGCAGTCTATTATAAAGAACCACGTGTCCTATACCAAATCTGATTAACCACCCTGCTGAAGAGATGCACGCTGGCATTCAGGTAGTCACCAGGATCACCTAACGTGCATTTAAGACAGCGCAAGGGTGGGAGCGTGCCACCAAGCATGGCTGGGAAGATGAAAACGGGGGAAGAGATGAAGAGAAACAAAAAGATATAAAATAAAGATAATAAAAATAGCTTCCTCCCTCCACCCCAGCCAAACCTTTCTCCCCTGGCTGATCTCCCAATTGCTCTTCACACCCTAACTGTGAACCCAAGGTAAGGCACCATGTCCCCTTGTAAAAAGGACCAAAGGAAAAGACCGATGCACTAAGATTTTCTAGAGTCCATTAATGTGGGGAACCCAGCTCAGAATACCTAATTTCCAGTTTTCAGAAATCCTGGTTGGAGTAAGAGTTTAGTGAAATATTCTACAGTCAGAAAAAAAAAAAAGAAATTAATGAAATTAAGAGGGTTTTGTGGGAGTGGGAGGTTTTTTTGTGGTTTTGTTTGAGCATTTTGGGGTGTTTGGGTTTTTTAAGTGATACAAATGGAACACTTGCTGGATTTTGGTTTCTATTTCTTTTTTTTGGTTGGTTGGGTTTTTTGTTAACTTGACTTTAGGCATGGTATACATATACTAGGGAAGCACAGAATGGTTGGGGTTGGAAAGGGACCTCTGGAGATCATCTAGTCCAACCCCTCCTGCTAAAGCAGGGTCACCTACAGCAGGTCACACCAGGCAGATTTTGAATATCTCCAGGGAAGGAGACTCCACAGCCTCCCTGGGCAGCCTGTTCCAGTGCTCTGCCACCCTCAGGGTAAAGAAGTTTTCCCTCATGTTCATGTGGAAGCTTAAAAACACACAGCTAAACGTTAGCTGTACCTCTACTACTGTTTTCAGCCTGAATTCCCTTGCCAAGAAACGGGTTAAACACACACGTTTCACCTCTGTTCACCGAGAGGGCCTGCAGAAGCCGCGCTGCTTCTACAGCGACAACAAAAGCAGGACATGCTGCTCTGAAACAAAATCTCCCCTTTCACTTCTCCCCGGTGTTTGGAAAACAACAGCCCTGGGGGCACAACGTCACAGGAAAGGCAAGCTGGAAGCTGGCCACGCAGCCAGGGCATCTACAGCAAAGCTTCTGGACATTCATTCTTTTCAAAGACCAGGACAGGGAAACACAACCGAATTGTGGCTGGAGAGGAGGGTGTAGGTGCTCACCCCGCTAGCAGTCCGTATGGGCTTGGCCTTCAGCTTTGGCACCAGCACCTTGCGGTACTGCGGGGGAACGGCGGCGATGATGTCAACCAAACGCGGCTGCGCTGACAGCCCATACTTGGCTGAAGTCTTGGTTTTCAGCCTGAAAGCAGAAATTAACGCCAATCAGCGCCAATTAACGACTCCATCCCGACCTGCATACCCACATTCCAGAGCAGTGCTATCCTATCACTGGGCAGTGACACAGAGATCCAGGCAGCTTCTCTCCATTTGCCTTCCCAGGTAACTTACCTAACAACTAATTCCTTGCAACAGCTGCACTGTGTATTAAGACACTGAAAATAAACTCCAAAGAAAGATGACATGCGACAACTGCCGCTGTTTTTTGTTTCTGTATATTTTTCTTCGAAATATGGTTTGAGCAAAGCATTGTGAAAGCTGCCCACAGACTCTGGCTTACCCATTTTCAGCGATTTCACTCTTTTTCTTGTCTTCCAGGTGATTAACCCCTCCACACGCACACTCTAGCTGACTTCATTTCTATTTCCAGCATCAGCAAAAAGTTTACTATTATATCATGTAAATGAAATAGAAACAGTGGGACAAATTCAGGTTTTATTACTCCACATATGTAAAGGAGGAAGCACTTTCTGTAAACAACAACTTCATTTTTAACACATTGCTAAGAAAATCTGATTTACACTTTATCCCTGCATTAATCTCTCCTTTCCCTGATGGAACTGACTTTGGGACTGCTGGAGGATGAACACAGGTGGAAACACAAAAAGGCAATGACAAGTTTCCTAGAGTTTTTCACCAACACAGCCCATTTTGTGCTCTGAGCACTCCCAATGAAGTAGCAAATCACCACAGAATTTACAAATCTTGGTGTCTTTATTATCAGAGAGAAATGAGAGCAGCCTGTGAAAATAACACATTTTAAAATAAAGCCTGAACGTAATAGACTGCACAGGACACGTTCAGCACTGGTGGATCAGCTCCTCAGTGTCACCCCAGAGCCACTTACTTGTTCAGATTCACATCTTTCCCCTGCTCATGAGCCTCAATTAACTGCTTTATGATGTCTGCTATCGTCATCACCATCAGCTCTGCATGGCTGAGGTCTCCTGAAACGAGAACAGGACAACAAACCACGTGTACAGCCAGCACTTGTGACAACCGAGGCGCCCCTGCTCTGCCATTCGGTTCCAATATTTCCCACAACTGTTGCCTGCAGAGGGAAATTCACCACTTGCGCTACCGCTCCCGAAGTGCAGCGCTCCCCCAACAAATGCCAGCCACCACCTCACGCCAGTGGCTTTCCTCTAGGACAAACCCCACCCTTGTTATGTCAGAGCGTTATAATCAAGTTTGCATTTTGAACAGATAATTACTTTCATTGATAACTAACTGCTTTTAATGAACGACTTAATTGCTTTAAGGAATAACTAACGCTATGTATTGATGATATTAGTTTACATGGCAGTAAGAAATATACAAAAGCTCACTGATGCTAAGAGACAACAGCTGCAGGCCTTGCAAAGAAGGTCAAAGCTAAAGCTGCAGCTAATTCTGAAATTGTCCAGAACAGAACAGGGAGACAGGGACAGGGAGGGAAAGCGCACATTCTTGGTGTGTCCCCTTATCTTACGTGATGAAAGCAGAGAAACTAAGGGATGTTAAGGTGAAGATCCTCACCTCCTCCCCATCCTAATTTGTATATCAGAGATCTTGATCAGTAAGATAACCCATGATTATATTAGTATAGGAATGTTAATGAAGTTAGTTAATAGGTGGACCAACCATTGTAAATGTCAAAATTAACAGGCATAACATGCGCGCTGATGTTAAAATACGTTAAAGATCGTGACTTTGCAGAAAAAGAATACAAAATGCTGAACTTTTTGTGTAACTTTGAAGCACATCAGGTGGAGCCATTCCCCGTGCCTCCCAGTGCTGCCATAAAGAAGTGTCTGCTTCTCTGTGATTGTATAGATAAGTTTGTCGTGATGGCGACAAGAGCACAACAGCTAGAATTAAAAGTCACTGGAAGTTAAAGACAGTTCGTAGAACAGCCTGGTGCTACCAGTACCCGTGGCCAGGAACAGAACACGGTGGTGAGGAGGACAGCGGGGCAAGCCAACCGCAGAGGGCAGCTCTGTGAACTCCCCTCCCGCACAGAGAGGGGTCGCTGCACCAGGCAGTGCTACCAGTGCCTCAAAGCTTCCCCACCACACCTCACAGACCCAGCCCATGCTGCAATGAGGGTCTGCACTGTATAGACCTACACATTGCTTCCATACCAGCTTTGGGAGAAGAGGGGCATTGCTCTTAAGAGATCCAGCCACACTTCCTATCAACAACGTGCATGTATTTCACCTCATGCTGCTCTGTCCACACCAGCAAGTGTTGGGGAAGTCAAAGATACGCACCAAACTTCTCTGAAACCCCCCTAGCAGGGACACAGCAGGGTGCACAACTGCCCCAACAAGTTTTTGGGGGTGCCAGCTGTGGTGAAATCCGGCAGCATCTACACCCGCCTGGCAGAAGCACCACAGAGATGCTCCCATGGGGGCCTTGGTGGATGACAAGCTCAACGTGAGGGAACAGCATGGCGCAGCGGCAAAGAAAGCCAACAGGATGCTGGGCTGCATTAACAAGGGCATCACTAGCAGAGATGAAGAACTCCTTATCATGCTCTACTCGGCGCTGGTCAGACCACACGTGGAGTACTGTGGTCAGTTTTGGTCCCTGCTGTACAAAAGAGATGTGGACAAGCTGGAAAGGGTCCAGAAGAGGGCCACAAAGGTGATCAGAGGACTGGGAGACCTGCCATACAAAGAAAGGCTGAGGAAACTTGATTTGTTCAGCCTTGAGAAGAGAAGGCTTAGGGGGGACCTTATCATGTACCAGTACATAAAAGGTGGCTACTGAGAAGATGGAGACTCCCTTTTTAGGAAGAGTCACATGGAACAGACAAGGGGTGATGGGTACAAGTTACTCCTGGGAACACTCTGATTGCACTCCAGAATAAACTTTTTCACCACAAGGACAATGAGACATTGGAATAATCTCCCAAATGAAGTGATGGATTCCCCCACATTGGACAGTTTTAAGACTCAATTTGACAGAGTGCTGGGCCATATAGTTTGAACTATATTTCTACCTTGAAAGGTTGGACTAGTTGATCCTTGACGTCCCTTCCAACCTGGTATTCTATGATTCAACTGAGGCAGTCTATGATTCTCTCTCTGTAGGTAGTTTTGGAGGACATACCAGGCCACTGTTAGCCAAGTGCCCTGCATCATCTTGGCTGCCCCATATCCTTCCCCTAGTTTTTTTTCTGCCACGAGGGAAAAGCCCAGCAAACACCCAGACCGCCTCATTCTCAGCACCCCATTCTGTGTCTGACAGCCAGGGAACCGGTCGGGAGGAAGGCAAATTCCCGAGCACCCACACGGGTGCAAAAGACTCTGTCTCCCAGCGACAGCGCCCAGTTCAACAGTGGAGAGAGAAGACGGGGGAGCTCACAGAGGGGAGCCAAGTCCCTCCAACCCCCAAACGAGGTCGGGGCTGGCCCTCCACCCACCTCCAAAAGAACATGGAAGGGGCAGAGCAGGGTCTTGCCTCGTTTTCCCGCTCCACACCCACACTCACAACGTCAGGGGAGGTGGTCAAGCCCCGCTACCCCCCCGCCGGGGGAAGCCTGGGGAGGAGCCCTGCCCCACAG